TTAGGCAGTGCTAAAGATTATATTTAGCCCATCATTAGTAATTTTAATTTATGTGCACAGTAATGAAAAATTTTAAAATAATCCCTGATCTTAATAAATATAAATTTCTGAATAACATCTCATAAAATAGGAAAATTTCTAATTTATCTATCATTGAATAAAGGAGAAAATTATGATTCCCCATCAATCTTGATGGGCTATCAGCTAGTTTAATATATAATGATATAAAATGTTAAATTTATACATAAATTCAAGAATTAAAATAGTCTTTAAATAAATATCTCATTCCTCTTGAATTGGTACTTGATGCATTTAAAGTTCTACGGATCCCTAAATTTTCAGGAATAGGTATAATATTGGTGTTTATTCAATTTTATAATGATCAATAATATATTTTATAGGCATTTTCAAATGAGCACTTTATAGCTTTAGAATTAATGGTTATCAGTTATGCCAAATGTGCATTTAATAACTACTTAACTTATAATGTTGCTTCTGGACTGGTATTTTTCATAGGATAAGGTTTCATAAGACTTTTAAGGTGAAGGCTAGATCAGACAATGATATTATTTGATATAGGTTTTTCTAATTCTAAAATAATTAAAAATTATTTATTAATATTAAAAATTATTTATTAATATTAAAAATTTACTTTGATATAAAGTACAATTTTTGAAAGTGCCACCATCACTTTGTTTTCCAGATTTTGCAGGACTTATTATTTTTATGTGCTTACCATCCAAGGCGTTTGGAAATCCATGTTTCTCTTTTCTGTAATCTAAAAATATATTAATATCTAAAATTATAATACCTTCTCCCAATGTTCACTAGTTGGAACTGGCAAATGAATATCTTTTAAAGTTTTCCATATAGCATCACATACCTCTGGAATGATGGTATCAATGCATTTTGCTTATTCTGCTTTTTAACTTGATTTGTTTTTTTTTATTTTGGAAGTTGGGTTTTGTTGAAGAATCTAATTTATAAAAAATAATATAATTATAAAAAAACTGAAAAAATTATACTTGGTTGTTGGATACCATTGTTTTGATATGTGAAGTGAATAAAATGGTAAGTGTATGAATGTTTTAATTTGGTATGATATTATCATTGGCCCGAATAAGCAATCGTATCGTATTATACACTGGGGAGACATCCCACAATTAAGTGGGCAATCCACCACCCCATAGAGGGCGTCTCCAGTGCAGTGAATTTGCATTCACTGTTTGGCAGTAATTTACCCTACTGTCAGGGTCCGTTTAATTTAAGAGGGCTTACGGTACCTCTCGTGAATAAGCAAAGATCCACTAAATTGATAATAATTTACCCTACTGTCAGGGCCCGTTTAATTTAAGAGAACTTACGGTATCTCTTGTGGATAAAGCTAGTACTGAGTTGATAAAGATATATTTTAATAGTAGGGTAAGAATTAGAAATTTATATTTAGTAAGAAAAAAAAGTGTTATTAAATATATGTATATAAGAAAAAAATAAGTAATAGTGATATAGGTAATAGAAGTAGACTAAAAGGAAAAAATTGGTAATTTGAGAAAAGATTTTTAGATTAAATTGAGAAAAATTAAGATTTGGAATTTGTAAGGTAAAAGAAAAAGAAAGCAGACGATTTGATAAATTGATAGAAGAGAAGGGAAAAAGCTGACAATTTAGTTTAAGGTTAAAAAATAACATGATGAATGTAATGTTATTAAAATTAAGGTTAATAAATTGTAAGGTAATTAAAAAATAAGACTAAAAAAGGGGGAGGGGAAGAAGGTATTAAATATTCTATTATAAAAATAATAAAAATTAAATTAAAGGAATTGATAAGGTTTTGAGAAATAGTGGTTAATAGATAATAGAGATAGGAAGATAAGAATGAGATAATAAAATTTAGTGATAAATAAATTCATTAAGGGAGGGGGGGGGGAAGAAAGAGTTATTCTTAAGGATTGGAGATTATAAAGAGTTATTTATAAGGATTGGAGATTATAAATAGGTTAGGATAAGGATATTTAAATATTTGAATATACTTGATTATCTTCTTAATTATTGGTTATGATAGAAAAAAATGAGTATAAAAAATTGTGATGTAAGTACTGACAAAAATTGTGAGTATGTTCAAAATAAATAAGAGAAAAATTTCATTAATGTGTAATTGATAATATGAGATGAAAATTGATAAGGTAATCTAAAAAATAAAGAAAGGATTAAGTGAAATAAAAAGTTAGCCTGAATTTTGAGAAATGAAGAGACATTGAAATTTGAATTATTTTTTTATTCACATCATTTATTTCGTCCATATTCAGAAAGTTGAGGGAATATTGTTTATATCAATTTAACATCAGCCATTTTCCCGCAGACGATTTTTTATTGGACAAATATTTTTTAAAAGAATAATATTGGCAATTTGATTGACATTTTTTAAGGATTATTATATTGATAGATGTCTACTTACTTTTTATAAAGAGATCTCTTTTAATTATTTGAACCTTGAGAATATTTTTAGGAAGAGGAATGATAATTAAATTTAAAAATAATTTAATATAGTTGATTAGTGATTTTGAACTCGGCTAATTACAATATTATATTTGTTAATTTCCAATTAATAAATGATTATATTTATTTAATTAGGGTTATATAATAATTTAAAAGTCAATTAAGCTTCACCTGTTAACTAGATTAATATTTAGTGAGTGATATTGGTATTCTATTTTTAACACAGAAGAAATTATAATTTATATATATTAATATAATCTGATAATTAAAGTAGTATTCATTTAATAAAAATTTAGATATTCTTATTAATTTTTAAATAATAAAATTAAATCCATATATTACGTAATAGAATTATAAAAAAAATTGTTCAGGGAGCATTCAAAAAAAACTTATTCTTAGTTCAAGTGGATATTAAGGAACCATTAAAAAAAAATTATTTTGCTTCAGGGAGCTATTCAAATTATTCAGGGGGCTTGAGCCCCTGCCCCCCCCCCCCTAGTGACGCCACTGAGACACTTGAGATGAAAATAACCATGAGATATGAATATTTCAGATTTTGCCTTTTCCACTATGATAATAGTAAATTTGTTATAGAATTTTAATATAGTAGCCCTGGGGCCGTGCTAGCTATACCTCCAACGTTAAACTACATTTGGGCCATCAAAGGACCGTACTATACCATTAAACAAGAGGGGGGTGTAGAACTGATTACGGTAACTTAATGGCCGTAGAAACGATAACAGGAAACGTTTAACTATCTAAGATTACCATTAGACATTATGTACATACGGAATTTGTTACGATGATTTCAAGATTCGTTCATCGTTAGATGCTCTTTAGGCCGTCCAAGGTTTTAGACCACAAATACGATGATGACAAATATGAGAAGACCTCAATGATTAGTGATTTAAACTGTAAAATGGGGACAAATGTGGTATATGAATTATCATCATGGAGTGTAAGATGTTTTGAATAAAAAGATTTAAAAATAATCAGAATGGCAAATGATTGTATTTTGTGATGCTCTTTGATATTATGATGTTATGGATTAATTTGGAATTTGTCCTATCGGGGGATGTTGACGCGAGGCATATATTGTTTATTTATAAGTAGTATAGTTATCTCTGTAATATCTTAGTGTCTCGCCGTCGTTTATTTATATAGGAATAGTTGTTATTTTTTTTATAATATTATTTTGCAATGTTATTTTTTTTAGAAAAAATAATGTTTATTTTTTTTAATATAATATAAATAGTGTAGAAAAAAATAATAGATAATTATCTTTGATTCATTTTTTTTGAAAAAGAAAAATAAATATTATTGAATATTATTGAGGTTTATATTTTTTTTGTTTTAGTTGATTTTTCTCCTTGTGAGAAAAGTATATTTAAAAGAGAAAAAGATTCGATTAATCTTGTTAGGTACAAAAGAAAAAGAAATTAAAAATTTAAATTGATAAGATAAAGCTTATCGTTTTCGTTCCGAACCCCTGTCCCCTATAAATTGTCCGTTTGTCAGTCTTTTTGATAAATTGGTGGCCAAGACGAGCATATCGTAAAAAAACTTTTAATTTAAGAATATAAAATCCTTTGGTGAGAATTTAGGTTACCCGTGCGGCGGAAGTTTAAGAATATAAAATCCTTTGGTGAGAATTTAGGTTACCCGTGCGGCGGAAGTTTAAGAATATAAAATCCTTTTGTGAGAATTTAGGTTACCCGTGCGGCGGAAGTTTAAGAATATAAAATCCTTTGGTGAGAATTTAGGTTACCCGTGCGGCGGAAGTTTAAGAATATAAAATCCTTTGGTGAGAATTTAGGTTACCCGTGCGGCGGAAGTTTAAGAATATAAAATCCTTTGGTGAGAATTTAGGTTACCCGTGCGGCGGAAGTTTAAGAATAGAAAATCACAAATTATTCGCGAAGTTTAAATACACCGAAGTGCTGCCCAAATTATTCGCAAAGCTTAAACACACGGAAGTGCTGCCCAAATTATTCGCGAAGTTTAAATATACGGAAGTGCTGCCCAAATTATTCGTGAGGCTTAAATACACGGAAGTTCTGCCCAAATTATTCGTGAGGCTTAAATACACGGAAGTACTGCCCAAATTTTTCGCAAATCATAATTGTACGGAAGTGCTGTCCAAATTTTTTGAAGAAATAAATTACACAAAAGTGCTATCAGTTTGGGTTAAAGAAATCAAAATACACGGTAAATTCGCGGAGAGCAATTTAGACAACATCCTATCAATAATAGGTATATTGATTATTTTGTTTGAGATTGTTGCATGTATATGTGCATTATTGGATTATTTACGTTAGTAATAATATCTTATCTATTAACTTTACAAATAACCAAGATTTTCATTTTAAAATTAATAATAAATTTTTTATAACGTTCGGATGAAAAGCTTAAAATTTGTTAAGTATTGGGAGGTTCAGTATAATATTTTTGGGGCGTTGGTGATATTAATTATATGGATTTGTAGTTTAATTTGGGGTAGGAGAATGAAGAGAAGTCGCAGTGTAAAAATCAAAGGACAAACTTTAACCATTGAGGGGCATAATGGAGAGGAAGATATGATGGGCAGAGTAACATGGTTGCCGGTTCAGGAGTTAATTAGGGGGTGGACGGATAGCGATATAAGCAGAAGTTTATATATAACTGACAAGCAGGATTGTAATGATAATCAGGCATTGAGACCTTATAGAGAACCAAAAGAGTACTCTAGGGGAAGGAGAATGGAAATAAGACAGAGTTTTGAGCCGCAAAGGAAAGGGGGAATGAATTGTTATAATTGTGGTAAACCAGGTCATATGCTTAGAGATTGTCGTGATACAAAGTGTTTTGGTTGTGGGAAATTTGGTCATATAGCCCCTTACTGTCCTGGCAAACAGGAAAGGTTGAGATGTGCGGGTTGTGGACGCTTTGGACATAATAAAGAGGATTGTAATGTAAGCAGTTACAGTAATAAGAATGGTTTTCCGGAGAGGGGGATGGGTCCAAATGCTTCAAATGTAAGGACTATTAAGCGAGAGAAAGTGGAAGGGGTTCGTGCGATCAATGTCAAGGAAACGGGGGAGATGGATATGGAGTGTTTTAGGTGTCGAGGGGCGGGACATGTGGCGAGGGACTGTGAGAATGTGTGACTATATGATGGCGAAAAATCGACATTACGGATCGGGGCGTGGCGGTTAGGAAGAACAGAGGAGAGATTTTTTCGGAAGATAACTAATAGGGAGGGGGTTTTAAATATGTTGCAAGATGGGATAATTAATGATCCTTGCCCGAGAGTAATGATTAATTTAGAGGGGAAAATTATTCCCATGTTATTTGATACGGGGGCAGCTATTTCAGTAATTGGATATAATAGATATCAAAGTATTTGGCCAGGGGAAATGATAGAGAATGAGGGGTTAAGGATAAGACAGTTTGATGGGACACTGATGGCGGCAATGGGTAGGGTGGAGATAATAGCAAAATTGGGGGAAAGAGTTGAAGTATTAGATTTATGGATTATCAATCATAATATAGAAGCTGTGTTGGGGTGGGACTGGATCACTAGGATTGGTCCCTGGTATGGTTTTTGGGGGGTATTTTCATGGTGGGGTGTATTTGTACCAAATACTAGTGAGGAGTATGCAGTTATGACATTTGAGGGTGAAAATGGAAGGTCGGGAGTTGAGACTGTATTGAAGCCTGACACCAGGGGAGACCATTCAAGGAGCGAAACAAAGGGGAACAACCCAAGAAGCGTAACAAGAGAGGATCCAAGGAGCGAAACAAAGGGGAACAACCCAAGAAGCGTAACAAGAGAGGATCCAAGGAGCGAAACAAAGGGGAACAACCCAAGAAGCGTAACAAGAGAGGATCCAAGGAGCGAAACAAAGGGGAACAACCCAAGAAGCGTAACAAGAGAGGATCCAAGGAGCGAAACAAAGGGGAACAACCCAAGGAGCGTAACAAGAGAGGATCCAAGGAGCAAAACAAAGGGGAACAACCCAAGGAGCGTAACAAGAGAGGATCCAAGGAGCGAAACTAAGGGGAACAACCCAAGAAGCGTAACAAGAGAGGATCCAAGGAGCGAAACAAAGGGGAACAACCCAAGAAGCGTAACAAGAGAGGATCCAAGGAGCGAAACAAAGGGGAACAACCCAAGAAGCGTAACAAGAGAGGATCCAAGGAGCGAAACAAAGGGGAACAACCCAAGGAGAGTAACAAGAGAGGATCCAAGGAGCGAAACAAAGGGGAACAACCCAAGGAGCGTAACAAGAGAGGATCCAAGGAGCGAAACAAAGGGGAACAACCCAAGGAGCGTAACAAGAGAGGATCCAAGGAGCGAAACAAAGGGGAACAACCCAAGAAGCGTAACAAGAGAGGATCCAAGGAGCGAAACAAAGGGGAACAACCCAAGAAGCGTAACAAGAGAGGATCCAAGGAGCGAAACAAAGGGGAACAACCCAAGGAGCGTAACAAGAGAGGATCCAAGGAGCGAAACAAAGGGGAACAACCCAAGAAGCGTAACAAGAGAGGATCCAAGGAGCGAAACAAAGGGGAACAACCCAAGAAGCGTAACAAGAGAGGATCCAAGGAGCGAAACAAAGGGGAACAACCCAAGAAGCGTAACAAGAGAGGATCCAAGGAGCGAAACAAAGGGGAACAACCCAAGGAGCGTAACAAGAGAGGATCCAAGGAGCGAAACAAAGGGGAAAAACCCAAGGAGCGTAACAAGAGAGGATCCAAGGAGCGAAACAAAGGGGAACAACCCAAGAAGCGTAACAAGAGAGGATCCAAGGAGCGAAACAAAGGGGAACAACCCAAGAAGCGTAACAAGAGAGGATCCAAGGAGCGAAACAAAGGGGAACAACCCAAGAAGCGTAACAAGAGAGGATCCAAGGAGCGAAACAAAGGGGAACAACCCAAGGAGCGTAACAAGAGAGGATCCAAGGAGCGAAACAAAGGGGAACAACCCAAGGAGCGTAACAAGAGAGGATCCAAGGAGCGAAACAAAGGGGAACAACCCAAGAAGCGTAACAAGAGAGGATCCAAGGAGCGAAACAAAGGGGAACAACCCAAGAAGCGTAACAAGAGAGGATCCAAGGAGCGAAACAAAGGGGAACAACCCAAGGAGCGTAACAAGAGAGGATCCAAGGAGCGAAACAAAGGGGAACAACCCAAGGAGCGTAACAAGAGAGGATCCAAGGAGCGAAACAAAGGGGAACAACCCAAGAAGCGTAACAAGAGAGGATCCAAGGAGCGAAACAAAGGGGAACAACCCAAGGAGCGTAACAAGAGAGGATCCAAGGAGCGAAACAAAGGGGAACAACCCAAGGAGCGTAGCAAGAGAAGATGCGTGGAACGAAACCAAGGGGAGTAACTCAGGGAGCGTAACGAGAGAAGCCAATCTAAGGAGCGAAACCAGGGGAAGTAAAAGGGGCGCAACAAAGGGAAGTGATGTTAGGGGCAGAGTAGGAGAGTTGAATTATAAGAGAGAAATAAGGGGGAAGACTTCTAGGGAAGAAATAAGAGACAACAATTATATAGATAAATCTAGGAAAATTTACCCGGGGTACGTTGGAGCTGTTAAGGAATATGGTGATATTAAGGAAAGGGAGGAGGAAGGAGATACGGGAAAAAGGGACGTAGGGATGCCTAAAGAAAATGGAGATGTGAATAATGCGCAAACCCAAGAAAATCGAGATGTGAATAATGCTCAACCCCAAGGAAGCCGGGAAGTGATTAATGCTAAGACACAAGAAAATCGGGCTAAGACTCAAGGAAATCGGGAAGTGAGGAATACTCAAACTCAAGGAAATCGGGAGGTGATGAAGGCTAGGACGTTGCACGATGATGAGGCGTTGCTAAATGATGAGGATGGAAAGGCATTGGGAATGGCCAAAGTGCAAGAAGGAGCCCGAAGATTAGTACAAAATTATCAAGTGATTTTTAATGAGGATTTAGGTTGTCTCAAAGATTATGAAGTAGATATTAAGTTAAAGGATGGTTACGTTCCAAAGTATTGTGCGTTGCGAAGGATACCTTTTGAGTGGCGGAGAGAAGTAGAAAGGGAGTTGGAGCAATGGGTAAAGAAGGATATTGTATGTCCCATAGAGTACAGTGAATGGGCGACCCCGTTGGTACCAGTGAAGAAAGCTAATGGAAAACTCCGTCTATGTGCAGATTTCCGGGTCACGCTAAATCCATGGGTCGTGGAGGTCAAATATCCATTGCCGCGTATTGAAGAAATATTGGCCAGTTTAAAGGGAAGTGTATATTTTTCAAAGATTGATTTCTCTAATGCGTACCTACAGTTGCGGGTGAAACCGGAGGTGAGAAGGTTATTAACGATTACGACCCCAAAAGGGTTATTTGCGTTTTGTAGATTGCCCTTTGGACTTAGTGTATCAGCTCCTATTTTTTAGCGGACTATGGCAGCGGTTTTTCAAGGATTGGAAGGAGTTTACTACTATATGGATGATGTGCTAGTGACAGGAAGAACTCCCGAACAGCATGAACAGAGATTGGAAGAGGTATTTCGGAGAATAAAAGAAAAAGGATTGCGGGCCAGTGCGGAGAAAAGCCTTTTGGGGGTCATGGAAGTGACGTATCTAGGACACAAAATTACAGGAAAGGAGGTGAGACCTTTGGATAAGAACATGACGGGAATTAGCAATATGAAGAGACCAAATAATAAAGCAGAAGTGCAGGCCTTTTTGGGAATGGTCAATTATTACCATCGTTTTGTGGAAGGATTTGCTCAGGTAGCCGCGCCGTTGTATCAATTGCTAAGGAAAGGAGAAAAGTTTGAATGGACAGAAGAACAAGAGGTGGCGTTTAAAGAGCTGAAATGCAGAATTGGAAAGGAACCTATATTAGTGTGCTTCAACAGCGAATTGGAGGTATTTGTGGCGGTAGACGCGTCGAATAAAGGGGTAGGAGGGGCTTTATTACATTGTATTGATGGGTTGGAAAGACCGGTGTTATTTTTCTCAAGGATATTTAGAGAGGCAGAGACTAGGTATTCCGTGATTGAGCAAGAAGCACTCGCCGTTATTTTTGGATTGACGAAATGCCGGGAGTATTTAATTGGGCGCAGGTTTGTTATTTACACCGATCATAAGCCGCTTGTGCATCTATTCAAGAAAGATAACAAGGAGCTGATGCTGTCGCCCAGGTTGCAGAGGTGGCTATTGCTCGTGGGTAGCTTTGACGTACAAGTGAGGTATCGCAGAGGGAAAGAGAACTACCTACCGGACATTTTATCTCGATGTGGAGCTGGAGAGGATTGTGAGGGGAAGGAACAGGAGGGACAAGATGAGAAGGAGGAACGAATACTAATCAGAACGATGGCTGGGATATCCAGGGGTGGGCCAGTGACATGGGAGGCAATTAAAAGGGAAACATTAAAGGATCGGGAATTGAGACGAGTCAAAGCGTGTCTCAAGGGACGGAAAACGTGGCAAGATGGGGACAAAACGTTCAAATATATAGAGAAGGAATTAGCAATTATAGATGAATGTCTAGTGCGAGGGAGTCGGAGTGTTATACCGTTCAAATTAAGGGAGGCCGTGATGGCAATGATTCATGCGGGACATCAAGGTATGGAGAGAATGAAACAGTGGGGACGGGAGTATGTATGGTGACCGGGAATGAACAAAGACATTGAAAATATCAGTCGAGCCTGTGTCAGATGTAATTCTTGGGCTCCGATGCCTCGAAAAGATAGGGAAAGTGTATGGCCAAAAGCTACTCAGCCATGGGAGCGTATTCACTTGGACTTTTTCGACTTTGATAACAAGATGTATATGTTGGTAGTGGATGCATTTTCCAAGTGGGTTGAATATGAGGAAGTCAAAGGATTAACGACTCAAGTGGTTATAAGGATATTGAAGAATCTATGGGCTAAGTTTGGAGTGGCCACTATAATAGTATCGGATGGGGGGCCGGCTTTTATCAGTAAGCAGTTCAAAATCTTTTGTGGGGAAACGGGAGCCAAACACATTTTAGCACCGCCGTACCATCCGAGTTCGAATGGACAGGCGGAGAGGATGGTGGCGATAGTCAAGAATTGGTTGAAAAAATCAAAGGATGGCGGAGGGGAAATGTGGGTAGCTGTGGCGTATTATAATAATAGCAGAAAAGGGGAGGA